CCCATTGATAACCCAAAATATTAGACTCAGGGAGGGAGAGATATAGTGAAATAATTTTTTGATAAAATTAAATCGTTTAGCAAATTAAATAAATAAAATTTGTTAACTTACTAAATTAAATCGGTCCATATATGTATTTAAGCTAGTTTCTAGGAGTTGGAACATTCGGTTTGACTCTACCGTCAAAAGGTTTGACTTTGAGCAAAATCCGGATGAGCCATGTGTTTAAAGGAAATTCAGTGGGGATAAGGTTACGTTCCTGGTTTTGTATATAGATGACATTCTACTCATTGGGAATGATGTAGGAATGTTGACTACGGTGAAAGTATAACTTTCACAACAATTCTCCATGAAAGATCTTGGAGAAGCCTCTTACATACTGGGTTTTCAGCTCTATAGAGATAGATCGAAGAGGATAATAGGATTATCCCAATCTGTTTACATTGACAAGATAGTCAAGAGATATAATATGGAGAACTCCAAGAAAGGAAATGTTCCTTTCAGGCATGGAGTCACTCTCTGCAAGGGTATGTCTCACAAGACTCCTAAGGAGATTGAGGGCATGAAGGACATTCCCTATGCCTCAGCCGTAGAGAGCATCATGTATGTAATGTTGTGCACTCACCCTGACATCTCTCAGGCAGTGAGTGTGGTAAGCAAATTCCAGTCAAACCCAAGGCAGGAGCATTCGACTGCTGTGAAAAACATACTAAAATCTCTCGATAGCTTTGACTGGATTTGTTAAATAATAAGGATAACTTCTTACTAGGCATCTGCTATATGTCTAAGAAAGTGGATTTATCTTATCTAGATATGATGGGTTCGTCTAAGGTAGAATACTGACTTTAGAGTTGTAATACTCTTGATTCTTATCAGTTGAATTGACTATGTCTGGTTTCTGCTTTGTGTAGTTTAGTTTTTTAAACGATGGGATTGCTTGCAATAATCCTTGTTTTTGGCATTCGTTTGATGTGAGTAGGACCGGTTTCATTTTCTAAAGGAGTTGATTTGATTTCTCATTTTCTCTAAATATGATGGGTTTGTTTAATTTAGAATATCGTGATTAGAGTTACGATAAGTCCAGTTCTTATAGGTTAAATTGATTCTTTCAAGCTTTTACTTTGAATTCTTTTAGACCGTTTAGAATGTATTGTGTGGATTGATCCAGGTTTATTGGTTTGTTTGAGTAGGTCTGGGTTTCCTTTTCAAATGAGTTGAGTTATTTTACTACTTTATCTTGGAATGTTGGATTCAGTTAAGTTAGTAAA